CAACATTGTTGTGTAGAAATTAAAATTGACTAACATAAAATGCTGGTGATGAAATAGGAAGATTTTAGTTTCACCCTCAATCAAATTGGCTGTAATCTTCCTAACAAAAATGGTAAATTTTGGTCCACTTTTTATGGTAGCCCCATAAACGGACTCCCCATTATTCCATATTTTGCATTATATTATAAAATTATTTTATAAAATTTCGAAATTTTGTTGGGAAGGTGCCAGAAGGAAGGACCAATATTTCACATCTTCGAACTCGATTTAACTTTGGATGAAATATTAGGTTATGGAAAAAAGAAATCCATTATTTTTATATAGGACTTTCTTTAACATGCTTCGGAATGTCCGATGCTTCAGAATGTCCAAATATTGACCGTTTTGTTGTATTATTTCTTGCCATTTTGAAGGTAATTTCATAATGCCTCTCTCATAGAAGTCCTGCTCCCTATTTGCAAAAAAACTGTAGTAGCCGATTTTCACAATCCTCCCCAGATACCAATTTTTATCATTAAAGAAAAATATGATAATCGTTTGGTGCCAAGTCCAAAAACTTCCAACCAAGCTTCCGAAGTTTCGGGCGTATCACTGTAGATGTGTGTGACCTAGCGTTATCCTGGTGGAACAATACACCTCTCCTGTTGGCTAATTCTGGCCGTTTATGGTAAATTGTAAATGGTTTAAAACAGTTTTATGGTAGATTCCTGAACGGACTCTACGATATGGGATGGTAAATGCCTTGTTAACATCGAAGTGAGGTACCAGCGAAATTCTTTTCGTTGGTCAGCTAAGTACTTCGCTTTGTTACAACAGACATTTGGGTTTTTTGTATAGAAACAATAAATAGCTTCTGGAGAGAATATCCCAACAAAAAACAAAGGGAACTGTTGAGGATCAGTGGCGTGATCCGAAACTATAGTCTTCCCTGCCTTACCCCTCGGCGAACAATACCATACGTTCCCTCTAAAAAATAATTGTTTTTTTTTATAAAAACAACAAACTGGGATTCAGCCTGACTATTTTGCAAAACCAAAAAAAAAAAACAATTTTTTTACTGCGAAATGTCACCCTTCCAACGAGCATAAATCTGAAATTGTTTGATCGATACTTTAGGAGAAATCTATCAGTACTGCCATCTGCCGAAAAAATAATGGATTTCTTTTTCCACAACATAATATTATGTGCAAAATTTGGATGAAATAGGTTATCGTGTGCATCAGCCACCCATACAGAGGAACATTTACATCGACTTCAAATTGTATGAAATGGGTTCGGCTCGAATAATCTTGGGGTCTAATATTGATATTTTGTTGAGGCACATTTTTGTCGTAGAAAAGTAGGTGCCAAATCAGTGCAGTACGTATGAGATCCGTCTATGATTTAGCTGCTCCAATGTCGCTGGTTTGAGCCGATATGTGAGAGCTCGTATTGTCATTGTACAAACTAGTCCATTTTCTCTTAAATGTTGTTATGCAAAAAAAAAATGTCGTATACCACTCAGAAGTTATAGTTCAATTCGCACGAAATAGTCCCGGAATAGTCGACCATTTGCTTTAAAATGGTCCTTTACACTACACATGAGGTGTATATTGTATATGTATATTCAATGTGTCATTCCGATTGCAATAACTCGGAATATTGAACTGAGATCGCAATGCCGGCATAAATTAAAAACAATTGATTTTTCAGGAAATGTGTTTTAAGTTTTCTATTGACTCACTTCAACAGCTTCTCAATCAGAGAGTGTAAGAGGTTTAGCGAAAATCACATTTTTTAATTTGCTGCAGGTCTTGCAGAAAATTTCTCATTGGTTCTTAAATTTTCTTACCAAAAAATTGAAATTTTGATTTTGACGTCATGTCATTTGTAAACCGTGAACCTCAACCTCAACCGTGATGCATTTTTGATCTACGAAGAGCACACCAAACACGACAACCCGTTTTAGCTGTCAGCATTTGGCTTTGGATTTTTATACCCTTTACCACACTGTGGTACAGGGTATTATGTCTTTGTGCATATTTTTGTAACAGGCAAAAGGAAACGAGATAGACACATGGTTCCTTTTGAGAACATGCATAGAATCACTTTCTGAGTCGATTTATGCATGTCCATGTCTGTCCATGTTAAATTGTAAACAAAGTACAGGTCGCATTTATGATCCGAATTGGATGAAATTTGGCATTGATCACTTGTTTGGCCCAAAGACGAACCCTATTGAAATTAGGGAAAATCGGTTCAGATCTAGATATAGCTCCCATATATATATTCGTCCGATTTAATGTAAACGGTCACTATATATCTTTCGCTTTGCACGAAATTTGGCACAGCGTAATGAATTAGGTCTAGAATGATGTGTGTAAAATTTCATATAAATCGGATCAGATTTAGATATAGCTCTAATATATGTTTTCGTCCGATTTAAGGTAAATGGTACACCAAAGTCCCTATGTATCTTTCGATTTGTACAAAATTTGGCACAGCGTAATGAATTAGGTCTAGAATAATGTGCGTAAAATTTCATAAAAATCGGTTCAGATTTAGATATAGCTCTCATATATGTTTTCGTCCGATTTAAGGTAAATGGTACACCAAAGTCCCTATGTATCTTTCGATTTGTACAAAATTTGGCACAGCGTAATGAATTAGGTCTAGAATAATGTGCGTAAAATTTCATAAAAATCGGTTCAGATTTAGATATAGCTCCCATATATATTTTCGTCCAATTTTTTGTAAATGGTGCACCAAAGTCCCTATATGTCTTTCGCTTTGCACGAAATTTGGCACAGCGTAATGAATTAGGTCTAGAATTATGTGAGTTAAGTTTCATGAAAATCGGTTCAGATTTAGTTATAGCTCCCATATACATTTTCGTCCGATTTAAGGTAAATGGTGTACAAAAGTCCTATATATCCTTCGATTTGCACGAAATTTGGGATAGCGTACTGAATTAAGTCTAGAAATATGTGTTTTTAATTTCGTAAAAATCGGTTCAAATTTAGATATAGATCCCATATATATTTTTGTCCGATTTTAAGTAAATGGTGCACCAAAGTCCCGGTTTACATTAAGATATTTTGCTTTAAATTAATTTACATAATTTTGTCCTATTGTTCGAAGCAACTCTATACCTGACCAAAATTTATAGGTTGCAGAAAGACCTGTTTAATTTCATGCTAATGGTCCCTCAAAAATGCGATGTCTGCTAGGATTCCATCTGTTGAATATACCCAAAGTGGTGAAGGGTATCATATAGTCGGCCCCATCCGACTTTACTACTTTCCTTACTGTTTTTTTTTTTTTTTTTTTTGATAGAGAACAACTAATTTTTATATCGAATATCGAAATATTATATCTTGTTTGGAATAGTTTTTAGTTTCATTGCTTAGGAGTCTCAAATGGTGGTCATTATGCTTTAAATGTACATTTCATTTTCTTTTTATTTTAATGATTTTAAGGGTTTGAAATATTACTCATATTTAAGACAAAATCTTACTGCAAAATAAATATCGTTCGTTTTTAAGCTAACTATTTCTTCTTTCGCCAATTAAAAAATGAAAATATTTACTCCTCTTCAATGCTTTCAAAATTCTATTCTATGCTTTTGATATGTGTATCTGTATGGGTGTTGATAATATGTTTTTTTTCTGCTAACGATGGCTTCTGCATGAATGTTTTCCATTTTCTTTTTTTTTATAATAGTCTATCTAACGTTTCTATTCTTCTTGTGTAAATCGACCACCACGCTCAAAACCTTCGTTCGTTCGTTGAAAGCATTCATCATCTCCAAAAATAAAAGGCTTTCATGGTCATCATGTGAACGCTTAACCATTGTTACGCTTTGCGAATATTTCGTGGGTCCAGTTGAAAGGACTCTTTCGTCACCAACCATCATTCATTTCGCTCGGCAGCAAATAGCAGCAACAGCGACATCGTGTGCTTGTGCTTTCATCATCTGTGGGTTTCCTTGCCAGTCAGCTGTGTGGACCCCGAAAAAGATAGATGAAAGGACAAGCAACAAAAAACAAAAAAAAAAGTTCATTAACGACTAACAACTATTTCGCTTGCTCGAACTAACAAAAATACAAAACACTCTCTTCCTTTTTGCTAAAAATAACAAACAACAACTGAAGAAGGAAAAACCCAAAGAAATTATAAAATGATTTCTTTATTTTTTCTATTCTTTTTTCTCTTTCTCTTCTCTCATTCTCTCTCTATATATATATGTATGCTTCTCTTTAATATCTATTATATATATGTGCTGTCGTCATATGTATCTTTGATTTCTTTTTCGTTGTATATCTTTTGCCTCTTCCCCTCTGCGTCTGTTCTACATACAACAATCAAATATACATATATAAAACTACAACTTTCTCGTACAACTTTGTGTTGTGTGTGTCGTAACTGCTGTGATATACATTTCATATCCGTTTCCGTTTCGACTATTATAAAATCGTTTCTTTTCTTCTCGTAAACTTTTTGTGTGTGTGTGTGTGGACAACTACGACAACTACAAACAACTATGGTATCCTTGTTTTATCAACATACTCTAAAATTTACACTCACACACATTCAAACAACATACATACACTCATCACACTGTGATGTGATCAATGTTTCCTGTACATATGTGTATGTGTGTGTGTCTATGCGTCTGCCTTTGTATCCTCATTTGTCTCTGTATTTCTCTATGTCTTTGTTTTTAATAAAAAACGACAACAACAAAACTACACAAAATGCAAATAATTACAACAACAACATCAACTAACCAATGCAATAAAACAAAAAACAACAATAATATTTATCCACCAAAAAAATCAAACAAAAAACGTTGCAATATTTTTTTCGAATTTTCAAATTCGAATTGTCAACACTGTCTACTTTGTATCTTTGTGTGTGTGTACTCAATTTTGCTTATAAAAACAAATAAAAAATCAAACAACCAATTACCAATATTGCAATAATAATAGCGTGGCACAATACAACTATACAATTTACAGAGCACAACTATGCCTATCCTCTCGCTGAACTCGCATAATTTACCCACGGGCACGAACAGTTACTCAGCCCTTGGGCTGAGTGGTACCGGTCCCACACCTGGCCTACCACCATTGGGCGCCTCTCTAACACATCCCTCAATCCCGGGACTGGATACAAGCGCTCTACTCGGCACCAGCGGTCTAACCGGATTGGGTACCGGTCTTGCCGGCACATCATCGCTTTATGGCCTCGGCAGTGGTGTTAGTGGGTTGGCACCCGGATTGCAGAACACTTTTGGTCCACCGCCTTCATTTCTCGACGTGGCCTCGTCCGCATCATATCCCTTCACATCGGCTGCCCTGCGCAATGCTACCAAAATGAAAATGTTGGAAGAGATCGATATACCGTTGACACGTTACGGAAATCGTAGTTCGCCTTGCTCACCGATACCACCTAATACCTGGGGCTTGGATGAATTCCAGGACAGTTTGATGCACAGTCGAAGTGGTTTAGCTTTAGCGCCATTGGATTTAGAAAGTAAGTGTATCACTTGAATTTCAAGTTTAGTTTTGAAACATAATTTTAGTTTCGAAGCAGATCCTTTAGTTTAAGCGCGTAATCGTACTGCTTGCTTCGTTAAACCAATACCCTTACCCCACTTTGTTCTTGTTTCTCATATCGTTTCTTTTAGCTCGCAATCATAATTTGAACAATGGCATCAGTGAACCTCAAGTGGATATGTTAGATATACCTGGCAAAGGACGTTGTTGTGTATTTATAGCACGTTTTCCTTACGATCCACCAGAGTAAGTACCGTACTATATATTTGACCTTCAACCTTTTATAAATGTAATTCCGGAACAGAAAGCTTTTTAAAACTATAAACCATTAAAAATAAAAGTTTTCAGTTTGAATGTGGGGTAGGTTCAGCGGGCCAGAGCCGTAACAAGAATTTATACGATAGGTCAAAAAAGAGACCCACAATGTTGTTTTCTTAAAAGCTATACATTTTTTAATATACTGTTTACGCAGCACAATAAATCACACAGTTACGTTGATATGTGAATAGGCGAGTAGCAGTGACGTCAGCTTTGGCACAGCGGAGTCCCAATGAGTGCGTCAATGCATCCCGAATAATATGGAGTATTGCTACAACCCTCAATTGGCCCTGCGCTCAGTATAGTCATGACTAAGTGCCAAGGCCTATTGTTTGTCTTACTAAAGCTCAGTTCAACCAAGGATCCGCGTCTTTTCTTCCTCCCAATCAAACTTAACTCACCAGCCATCAACAGACTTATTTAGATTTTATGAAATGCGTCTCCTTTTGTTGTTTTCTCCTGAAAGCAGTTGATTCCAATTTGACAGTTTTCCGTAGTGCCGATCTTTATGTGGGGACTATGTCAATCCAGTACCAATATCGAAATATTGCTTCAAATATGTTTTCAATCCCCAAGAACCCGGCATGCCAAATTAAGGCCATCAACCCTCACTTGGCCCTGCGCTTAGTCCAATCACCACTAAGATCCACGGCCTATTTTTGGCTTTTCTTCTTTCCTCCTCCAAATCTCACTTAACTCACCAGCCATCAACAAACGACTGGTCTCGATTATGTGAAATGCGTCTCCTTTAACAACTTTTCGGCTGATCAACTATTGTTGATTTCTCCGGAAAGCAGCTGACTCAGATTTGACAGTTTTCCGTAGTTCAACCATTTGTCTCCGGGGGTTCTAATGTTGTATTTTAATGATAGCTATATTCGAAAGGGGGCAGGTGTGGCAAAAATGCTTATGTCAAAACTATGCAAATGTGTTTTCCACCCTCTAAAACCTCGGAATGTCAAATTACATCCATTTCGGTGGGAAAATGCTGATTAGACCTTCAAAATAACGAAAATGTGGCGGCATCTTTATATGGGAATCTCTAGACAAGCAGAGCATGATGATTCTATGATGAGGCATATTTTCGTATCGTAAAAATGTATATATATCATCAGTAACCCTAAATCTGAGGTTGCAAAATTAAATCGTTTTTGGGTCGTCGTAGAGCACATTGTAAGATCGCAATAAAATACATAAGAAATATTCTTACTTACTTAGCTGACTTTCGTTCCATAAGCCGAGCTTTTGTGTAGTTTTTCGCGTTTGAAAGACCATTTTCGGCGATGTTGTCTTCGACTTGATCTTTCCAACGTGCGTAAGTACCCATGCTTTAGATCCGTATAACAGCACGGGTAGTATCAGCGTCTTGTAGAGTGTGAGTTTGGTCTGGCGGGAGGTGGCCTTGCTTTTCAGTTTTTTGCTCAGACCATAGTAGCATCGGTTGGCCATCACTATCCTTCTCCGAATTTCAAAACCGATGTCATTCGTTTTGTAGAAATATTCCAATTTTCATTAAAAACTAATCTTAACTTATGTGACACATTTCCATCTCGTTGACCCAAACAGTTACAGACAGTGTTGCCAAAACTTTGTTGAGGAAAAATGCTAGATTTTGTTCAAAAAAATGCTAGAAAGTGCTAAAAAAATTAAAAAAAGTGCCAGAAAAAAGTGCTAAAAATTTCTAGAACAAAATTGTTAATATCTAACAATGAAATATACATCGGTAGTTTTAGGGTACACCATCCCCCAACATTTGTTTTTTTTTAGCTTTTAGACACATTTTCAACTTAAATTTGTGTATATTTGTATATTGTGTTCTACATGGATATATAGTCTTCTTACTAGAACTTATCAATATTGGTCCACTTTTAAGGGTAGCCCTCATCAATTGAATTGGTTTTAATTTGATTGTTTAAATTTTGTTGAGTAAAAAATCTCCTTATTAATATGCGTCCATATTAAGGGGTGGCCCCCAGAGAGCGTCGGACACGCAACCGAATTGACTAAATTTGTTCTACTTTTTTTATGGTGTTTGAAATCTAGCTACTAAAATATAAATACTAATAATGTCCAAATTTGGTTAAGGTAAATAACTGTATTTTCACATTGCGTACAAATATGAAGACAATTATCAATTTTCGTCCCATTTGCATACTTTTAAGGATGTATAATCTCATTCCCAACAGCGACTTTAATATAAATCAAGTGAAAAAGCGTTAAGTTCGGCCGGGCCGAACTTTGGATACCCTCCACCATAGATATACTGACAGGTACTATACATGAAAATATAGGGAACATACCAAAAAGTGGACCTATACCGACATTTCTAAAAACGGATTATGTAAACCACAAATTTCAGAATTTTTAATGGATAATTGTACCCTCAGCCTAATGGCTAATGATGGTGTATACACTTTAACACGGTGAAAATGTGCCTCATCGAAATATTGGTTCTAGACCCCATGTTTCTTTGGACCAAATCCGTTTCCGAAAATTTAGGTTTCATCCAAACTTTGCCCATCTTATTATTTCTTCCAAACTTAGTTCAAATTTGAAGATGGTTAATATCAGTCCACTACCTCTGGAACCTCCACACAGGGGCTAGGTCTAAATGCGGATATAGTTCATTATCGAATCTTAAGATATAATTTTTTATCTCGCTTTCCTCCGCAGGTGATATGATTACAATAGAGTCTTAGAACCAAATTCAAAACGCGGAACAAATCAGATTACTATTTTAATATAAAACATATGCACCAAGACATAATACCCTGTACCACAGTGTGGTGAAGGGTATAAAAAGGGGGTTATATGGGGACTACCCCAAAAAGGGGGCGAATATTAATAATTTTTGGAAGGGAGATTTGTTACCATATGCGACTACAAAATACCAAATTGCAGCATTGGGGGAACCCTTATATGGGAGCTATGCTTAAACGTGGACCGATATATCCATCTTCGAACATGACCTGCCTGCAGAAT